CACAATGGCAATGCTGTAAGATAGGTCGTCCTCTCAACTAGGGTCGCTTTTCGGGTTAAATAGTATCACCCTTTTCATCAGGGCCCCCCAAGAGGCACCTAGGGATGCCCAGTAGTACGCTTGTTTCCTTTTTGAGGGGTTTAGGTTCCCTTGAGAAGCAAGAAGGGGCAACCTTTTCAATCTGAACCCTAAACCCTAAACCCTAAACCCTAAATCCTAAATCCTAAATTATGAGAACTACCCATATAGAAACCCCGAAGAAGTCTGCAGGAGCTCGAACCCCTTTGGACCCCACCCAGGCTTGGGTCCTAGAGAGTTTAGGAGGCCTCGCGGTTTAGGGTTTAGGGTTTAGGGTTTAGGGTTTAGGGTTTAGGGTTTAGGGTTTAGGGTTTCGGTTTAGGGTTTAGGGTTTAGGGTTTAGGGTTGAGGATGTAGGGTTTAGGGTTTAGGGTTTAGGGTTTAGGGCTATACGACTTCGTTCTTGTAGGGCCTTTGGGGCTTGTAGGGCTAGGGTTGAGGTGTCAAGCAGCAGGGCTCGGCCTCTGATCCTAGGGTTTAGAGTTTAGGGTTTAGGGTTTAGGAAGCAGATCCGTCAGACAAATTGGTAGGCTCGGCTGCAATACCCGATTCTGCATATGGGGTCAGCTTGGTCGAAATTATGACTATGACCCCTTCTTGGCACCATAAACTGTAACTCTAAGTCCTAAGCCCTAAGCCCCGGCTCTTCTGATCACTGCCTGGCACCTAACTGCGCAGTGCGAAGTCCAAAACCCTAAGCCGTAAACCCTACACCCTAAACCCTAAACCCTAAACCCTAAACCCTAAACCCTGAACCCTGAACCCTGAACCCTGAACCTGAGCCACGAATGCGCCAGAAGAGGGGCCCTGGACTTCATGGGACCCCGGCATCCTTATACCAAGCCCCTAGGCCCTAAACCCTAAACCCTAAACCCTAAACCCTAAACCTGCGTTCAGGGTTTGGGAAGTGATTCCTGGCAAAGAGCCCAATGCCCCTTAAGAGGGAATCCGATGATGGTTTAGGGTTTAGGGTTTCGGGTTTAGGGTTTAGGGTTTTGGGTTTTGGGTTTTGGTTTGGGCGCTCTGGGCACAACCCTCAAGCCTGTTTGGGCTACGTAACCTGAACCCTAAGACCCAAAACCCAAAAACCTAAACCGTAAACCCTAAACCCTAAACCAATCCTGAGGCCCTAGACGAACCCGGGATTGGGAGTACTTGGAGGTTCATGGGTTGCAAGTCGACGTATAACCTACCTAGGCGACTTAGGGGGCTTGTAAATTCCCAAAGCCCTAAGCCTAAACCCTAGCCCTAAATCCTAAACCCTAAACCCTACAATAGGTTTGGGCGTCCCGTTTGTGGCGGACCTCTTTCTGCGCCTTGGCCACGGCTTTGCCGGCAACCTGCTGGTGAGCCTGGGCCAGGCCCGGCCCGTTAGGGTTTCGGGTTTTAGGAGTTTAGGGTTTAGAGTTTGGGGTTTGGGGTTTAGGGTTTCGGGTGAACGGATGGTCAGTCATTCCCAGTTGATTTGCTCTCCCCTCATAGGAGCCGAACTTTTGTCCCAGCTTCACGCTACGCAGGAGAGTAAGTTGTGGAGTACGGCTGCGGGTCACCAAGGGGGACAGGGCTTAGAACACGGCGGTGACCTTTCTGTTGCTAAACGGTTTTTGAAGTCGCTGCGTGACTCGAAGGACGATTACCGGGCTGCCCTGTGCGTACTTCAGGGTTCGCTCCCTAGTAGTTCTAACGGCTGTCTTGACTCATGTCCCTTTTGTGGTAGTACGCCTACTTTGCAACACCTATTGTATGAGTGCGAGCACCTGAATGCGACAGCTGGCGCTCCGCCTGCTGAGTGGGTCAATGCGGCCAAAGATCCGAAACAACAGTGTTTCTGGCTTCGGGGTATCATACCTAGTGCTTGGACGTCCCTCAGAGAGTCGGTGCGTGATGCGTTAAACGGGCACTCTGAGGTAGGAGGTTTGTGGGCCCAGTCTGAACTTTTAGATGGTTCTCTGTTTTATTTTGGGGCTGATGCTAGTGGAGGGTCGCAACAGCGAGACCCTCGTATCAGGATTTGTTCTTGGGGTATTTCGGCCGTGTCCTTGAATAGCGAGGGGCAGTGGGAGTGCATCGCCCATAGAGGCGGAATACTTCCTGGCAAGAAGCAGACGGTTCCCCGTGCCGAACTCTTTGCGATCACACAGCTCATTAAGCACACCTCTGGAGCCATGTCTTTCTGCAGTGACTCGCAGCTTAATATGAAGCTGTTCCGCAAGCTGGTTGCTAAACGTAGGGTTAAGAGTAGCTGGTCCAACGCAGATCTGTGGCTCCATGTTCAAGAAGGCCTGTCTGATCGTTGGTTGCGGGGCTCGTGGGTTCGCTCCCATCGCTCCCAGCCGGAGTTTGAGTTAGAGTTCGGCTCTGACCTGCGGTGGGCGTACACCGCCAATGAGCACGCCGATAGGACGGCTGGCAAGGTAAGTAAGTGGTTAGATGCTAGGCATAACCTTCGAACTTGGGGCGACATTTTTCGTACTAGTGATGACCGTTGTTGGAAAGTGCTTCGCTTTCTCACCACTAGAGCCAAGCTGCTTCTCCAAGCACCACGACGCCCCAAAACCTTTGGCCCTCGGGTCGCCACGGGCGCTGAGTTTTTAGCTCATCTTTCGCAGCTCCATCCCCAGCATAGCTGGCAACACTTTCCTGGTGCTGTCTTCTCGCGATGCACCTTATGTGGGCTGAAAGTCCACGGGAGTCGGCGGGGCCGGGGGCTCGCATTGCTCCCATGCTGTCGCACCACCATGGATTGGGTAGGCTTAGGTGTTCATCCCTCGCATGAGTTAGATTTTCGGGGTCAGGCGAAAGGTTGGCAGTGTAGGTATTGCAGGCTGGTCATTCGCCCGCATGGAGGTGAGAGCTCCTGGCAACGCTTGGCTAGGGTGTGTCGTAAATCCTAACCCCCTATGCAGTACAGCTTCGCTGTGTTTTCTTTCAAAAAAAAATCGGGTGAACGGACTTTGGGGTTCAAGGTTTGGGCTCACCATATCCTGCAGCCGCTGACCCTAAACCCTAGGCTTTGGGCTCTGCTTTTGGGAGTTCTGGGTTCAGGGTTTACTACTATTTGCTTAAGAACCCCAAAAGAATCAAATAAGTAATCCCTAAATTACCCTTAGAAAGAAGAATATGTTGTGTTTTTTTGGGGAGTTCATAAGCAATTAGTAGTCAGGGTTTGGGGTATAGGGAATTGCACCTAAGCAGCCCAAAAAAGGTAGATTGGCTGCCTCAGAAGGTGGAGCTCTTTAGGGTACAGGGTCTACAGGAAGTATCCCACAAACCTGAGGCATGAACTACGCTGTGCTTTAGGGTTTAGGGTTCGGACCCGAAGCCCTTGCAGAACCCTTAGCCCGAAACTCTGAACCCTAAACCCTAAACCCTAAACCCTAAACCCTAAACCCTAAACCCTAAACCCTAAACCCTAAACCCTAAACCCTAAACCCTAAACCCTAAACCCTAAAACCAACTTCCGCGCCAGGAGTTTGTCCACGCGCTCTTCGCCGAGTTTGGAGAGGAAGTCTCGGCGTCGATGTTTGCTGGGGTTGGTCCGCCCGTATTCCTTTCTTTAAGAGGGTTTAGGGTTTAGGGCTTAGTGTTCCCTTCTAACCCATTTATTTAGGTTCCGTATAACCCCCTTTAAACAAAAACACGGGCACACTTTTATTCCTAAATAGAAAAAGCACGCTTGGGGATCATCAACCCGGTGTAGCAAACCGGCGCAGTTGACCATTTCAGCTTTCCCCTCTTGGGAGTAAGATTCACGGGGCTAAAGGATGGACCGGACCCTTACAAGGGATCCGCTTTTTTAAGCCGAGCAAACCTGCTTTAGGACCGTACAAATCCCCTCCATACCCGGCATGCGAGCATGCGTTTGCACATGCAGGTGGTGCCCCCCCCCCCCCCCCCCCCCCCCCCACCCCCCACACCGCCCGCTTGTTTTAAGCCATGCAAGCTTGCTTTCAGACCATACGAGACCCTCCAAACTCATCATGGGAGCATCGTGTTCACAAATTGGGGGAGGGGGGGGTGCTAACGTGCATAAATGGTGCGCATGGCAGGTTTGTGTCGCGTTCTTGTGAGTGTATAGGAGCTTGAGATGCGGAAAACACGGGCTAAAACCCGTAAAATGATGTACTTGCTAGGATTTGACTCATTTTCAACGTAATTACCATGGAGCTTGAGATGCAATGAACACTACAATGTACAGTCTTTAAAGCACGTGAATATTATACTTGCTACACGCAACATGCAAAATTGACCTTTTGTCTTGCGGTAAAGCAAATCACTGCGGGGAAGGTTTTTAGGAAGTCGGCCGAAACTGCGTTTCCTTCGGGCGAAGCAGTCATGCATGGGATTGTTGAGAATGTCGCCGCCGTGTCATAGGCCATTTTGAGTAAGGCGGGTTAGGGTGTGTGGGTATTCCTGTCTGGCAGTCACCAAGTCCCAGTTGCAAAAAGGGGTTGCCATTCCATCACGAAAAAGGGGTATCGCTAGGATACCGTACGGGTATCGTTCAGGGTATCGTTCGCATAGGCAAAAGTTTCTTTGGATTCAACTCATGTGCTGCCCATGACACACGGCAGGAGCTATGGTAAGTTCTCCTCCTGACACGCGACCTAACGGCCTATGCTTCGTAAGTTTTGGTAGGTTTGACTCCAGCCTTTGCTTTCGTTTTATTCGGGCGGAGGTCCTTCAGCAACCATGTTGGATGCTGTTTTCAGGCATTTTGAGCCCAAGCGCTCCTTGGTAATTTCGATACTGGCGTACTGATTGTAGCTGCTTGTCGTGGCTGTAAAATCCATGCGTAAAGGATCCCGCAGTCGACTTCGTCAACTTCCTGAATCCTCTGCGTTCACTGGGGTTCCACATCTCCCCCAATAAACGGGTCGACTTTCCCTGTAGGGATTGGGGTATTCTCAATGTAGCTACCAATGACCTGGATATGCGGAGATTTACGGTGTGAGATGTCCGTAAATACTGTAATTGCTAGGACTTGGAGCACTGTCAAAGAGGCGAGCGTACATAAACACGGCGATTTATAACTTTTGGCGCGGTTTATCCAGGAACGCGAAACGCTGAAAACGCTTCAAATTACGGTTTTTCAGCCTATGAGCCGCCGAGGTGTCGAGCCAGACCTAGGAAAAGAGCAAAAGGAGAGGCAGACCTAGGAAAGAAACACGTCCACCTGCCCTTCTACTCTGCTACTCTGAAGCAGTTTGATGACCTCTACACCCTGAAAACCCCAAAGCCCCAAAGAAGCCCTAAACCTTAAACCCAAAACCCCAAACCCCAAACCCCAAAGCTCAAACCCCCGGCCCCCAAACTGGGATTGGGAGGAGTTCTCGGCCGACCTCTTTCAGACACTGGGGGCGGGCTACTCCTCCGAGCTGTTCAAGGCTGGGCCTCTGGTGTGTGTATGTGTGTGTTGGGGTTTAGGGTATAGGGTTTAGGGTAAAGGGTTTAGGGTTTAGGGTTTGGGTTTAGGGTTTGTGGTTTAGGGTTCAGGGTTCAGGGTTCAGAGTTTAGGGTAATTATAGGGTTTAGGGTTTAGGGTTTAGGGTCTAGGGTTTGTGTGTGTGTGTGTGTGCTTGGTTGTTCTTTTGGTGTTTAGGGTTTGGGGTTTCGGGTTTAGACACTACGCCCAAGCCCTGAACCCTATCGAGCAAACCCCGGCCCTAAACCCTAAACCCCAAACCCTAAACCCCAAACCCCAAACCCTAAACCCCAAACCCCAACCCTAAACCCTAAACCAAGCCCCAAACATTAAACCGCAAAACCCCAAACCCTTAACCCCAAACCCCAAACCCTAAACCCTAAACCCCAAACCCCAAACCCTAAACCCTAAACCCCAAACCACAACCCTAAACCCCAAGCCCCAGGAGATGGGCGGCGACTTTCTGGCCAAGCTCTTCCAGGCCCTAAACCCTAAACCCTAAACCCTAGACCCGAAACCCTAAACCCTAAACCCCAAACCTCAGGCCTTGGGGAGCACGTGGACCGCCAACGTCCATCACCTTATGGGCCAGGCCCACCACAGGGGTTTAGGGTTTAGGGTTTAGGGTTTGGGGTTTGGGGTTTGGGGTTTAGGGTTTGGGGTTTGGGGTTTGGGTTTTGGGGTTTGGGTGTAAGGTTTAGGGTCTATAGGGTTTGCTTTGTTTTCCGTTTTGTTGTTCTTTTTCGTTTGGGGGGTGGGGGGGGCTTGGGTGGTTTTTTGAAGTTTTGGGAGCTTTGGGCTTTGGAGTTTAGTATGTGGGGTTGAGGGTTTGGGGGTTTAGGAGGTTTAGGGTTGCGGGGTTTGGTCGCTAGTGGTTTAGGGTTCAAGGTTCAAGGTTCAGGAAATTGAGAAGCATAAGCCCTAACCCTAAACCCTAAACCCTAAACCCTAAACCCTAAACCCTAAACCCTAAACCCTAAACCCTAAACCCTAAACCCTTTTTTGCTTCCGAGTTGTGCACAACGGGACTAAACAATGCATCCCTTAGTCGGCATCCCGAGAGTGCTCGCTCTTAACATCTGCAGGGTTTGGGGTTTAGGGTTTAGGGTTCAGGGTTTAGGGCTCAGGTTTTAGGGCGCAGGGTCCCCAAACCTAAACACCAACATCCTCAAGCCGGAACACCTAAACCTTTCGATTTCCCAGGGGTTGCTTGAAAGGGGTCCTCAAAAGCAACTTTTCCCCCCACCCGCCAAGTTCCACGTCCAAGGAGTGCAAGACTGGAACCGCTTGAGTTTGCGGTCGAAAATGTTTAGGGTTTAAGGTGGTGGTTTGATACTGGTGCGGTTTCGGAGGTTCGAGGGTGCACAATTGCACAAAGTCCTAAGAGTTCGTTAGAGTATTGCGGGCACAGGTTTTTTCTTTGGGGGGGCCTGGAAAGCTAGGACCCCTACCTTTTTCTCTTGATCTTTTTTGTTTTGTTTGGGGGGGGCGCGGGGTAGGGCTTTGTGGTCTAGGCCCCTAAGCCCTAACCCTAAACCCTAGACCCTAAACCCTCAACCCTAAGCCCTAAACCCGCAGGAGTACTGCACACGCCTGTACGACAAGCTGCAGGCGGAATTCATGGCCCCTCCTCTGCAAGATGTTTCGTACACCATTGTGGGGTTTGGGGCTTAGGGTTTATCAGGGCTTACTATTTGCCACTTCGAAAAATTAAGCAGAGTAATCTCGATACTGCCCTTATAAGGAAGAACATGTGTATCGTCATTTTTTTGAGGGGGGTAAACCCTCAACTGTAAACCCTAAACCCTAAACCCCAAACCCTAAACCCGAAACCCGAAACCCTAAACCCTAAACCCAAAATTAAATTCCTGTTGACAAGGATGCTTTGTCTCACGTGAAACTGAACCCTACACCCGCAAGCTGCCAAAGCCCCAAACCCCACACGCCAAGCCCGAAGCTTCGGGTTTAGGGCTTAGGGCTTAGGGTTAGGTTTGGGGTTTGGGGTTTAGGGTTCAGGGTTTAGGGTTTAGGGTTTAGGGAGCAAGCAAACCAAGACAACCCTAAACCCTAAACCCTAAACGCTAAACCCTAAACCCTAAACCCTAAACCCTCGACGACGAGGCGCGCCTCTTCACAGGTTTTGGCCACCGCTACGCTGCGGAGCTCTTTGACAAGCTGGAGCCTAACTTCTGCTCCCTGGCTAGGATTTTGGCTTTAGGCTTTTGGGTTTAGGGTTTAGGGTTTCGGGTTTAAGGCACAGGGCTTTGGGGTAGGAATGAAGAGCGCGGTCTGGTTTAGAGGGCTCATACGGGAACCGACCCTAAACCCTAAACCCTAAACCCTAAACCCTAAACCCTAAACCCTAAACCCTAAACCCTAAACCCTAAACCCTAAACCCTAAACCCTAAACCCCCCCCCCCCCCCCCCAAATAAAAAAAAAGGCAACAAGTGAATAGAAGCCCTCTGAAGCTGCGCAGGCCTGAGAGCCTACCGGTTCTCGGTGCGGAATGAAGGGATTGGGTACCCATTGCCACTCCTTAGAGGGGTATAAGTATAAATGGAGATGTAAATCCAATAAATGTATAGATAGGGGGGAGATATATATATATGTATAAATAAATAAATATATATATATATACATATATATATATATGCAGGGGGACTACTTTCAAGGGTATTGGGCTTTCTGGTCTGCATGTCAAGGTTTGTAGTTTGGGGATGTGAGGCTTAGCATTTCGGGCTTCCTGGGTTGAGTTTGCAAACTCAAGGCGCTCAGGGCTCATGCAGAGCCTCGAAAAAAGGTAATTCGGTCCCTTGTTTAGGGTCTGAAAGGTTTACCCCTAGTAAACTTTTAGTTTCTTTTGCTCTGATGCGGATTCCTGCTTCTCAGCTCGATGGTCTGCAATCGTTCGACGCCCAGCCACAAATTGCGCAAGTTACCACGCAGCCTGGTCGGCTTCCCAGGGGTTTTGCTGGGCTTTCACGTGCGCCCCATTGCGTGGGGTTTGGGCTGAGTTGGGGTTTAGGGTTTAGGGTTTAGGGTTTAGGGTTTAGGGTTTAGGGTTTAGGGTTTAGTGTTTAGGGTTTAGGGTTTAGGGTTTAGGGTTTAGGGGCCATGGCAGATGTGGCTGATGCTCAGCGGATCCTCGTTGTGGCGCTGGGAAGTCGGGGTGACGTCCAGCCCTACATAGCATTGGGCGTTGGGTTGCGGCACGCCGGCTATAGAGTGACTTACTTTGCCAGTAGTTGAGCTTTAAACCTTTTGGATTTCCTCATGTGGTAGGAGTAATAAAGTTAAAACCCTAAACCCTAAACCCTAAACCCTAAACCCTAAACCCTAAACCCTAAACCCTAAACCCTTTGCTTATTGGAGAAGTGAGGTGAGGTTGCTCACGTCTGCAGACTTCGTCCCGATTGTGCAGGGAATGGATCTGGAGGCTGTGGATGCTTGGCTCGAATGGGATGAGGGGCCCGATGAGGGTGTAGGGTTCCCTAAACCCTAAACCCGAAACCCTAAACCCTAAACCCTAAACCCTAAACCCTAAACCCTAAACCCTAAACCCTGAACCCTGAACCCTAAACCCTAAACCCTAAACCCCCCAAGCCCTGTTGAAGCCAGGATGTCTGGCACGGGAATATGGAGGAAGAGATTCGAGCGAACCCGGATTTGGCGGAGTCGATGGCCACAGGGCATCTAGGTTGGCCTTGGGATTTAGGGTTTAGGGTTCAGGGTTTAGGGTTTAGGGTTTAGAGTTCAGGGTTTAGGGTATGTTCGAACATAATCTAGTTAGTAACCCGAAGCCAGAAACCCTAAATCCTTCATAAAGTGTTTCAGGGCAATTCTTGGGTTGTAGGAATTTCTTAGTTCCCCCTGATTCGGGGGCTTTGTGGCTTAGCAAGATCTTCTGACGGATCGTTTTTTAGAGGCCAGCCACTAAAATCCCAGGAACGTTCTGAAATGGCTGGAGGCACACGGCAAGAGCAACGCAAAGTTCTTCCCTGAATGTTTCAAGTCATTCCTGGCGGAGATGAGGAGCTTCAAGCCGCACCTCCTCCTCTATGGGACTCTTGGCAGCCCAGCGGTACCCTTTTGCCCCCTTCTTTTTTTGGCTCAGCGTTCCCTGATAAAGTAACCGCCCCCCCCCCCCAAAAAAAAAAAGAAACTAAAAAGAATAGACAAACAACAAGTACCCTTATTACAAGATGTTGACAACACAACAAAAAGAGAAAACACAAAAACAAATACCCTTATTACAAGATGTTGACTGCGCTACCAAGGATCATGGAGTGCTGGCATCTGCCCGCCGTGGCAGCAAGCATGAACCTTTGTGGTGCTTTACTGTAACTTTACATCCTTACCTTTTTTGGGTTTACTGGGTTTCTTAATAAGGCAGCTAACAACTAAATTTATAGCTACCCTTCTGAGTGGTCTAAAGTGTAGAGGTTTATTGGGTTTCTTAATAAGGCAGCTAAAAGTTTAATGTTTTGCTACCCTCCTAAGTGCAGCCAAGGAACGTGCCCTCCTTGTTCGCAGGCCTCACCTGTCTTCAGCCCTCAGCGCAGATCCCCACCGTGTGTGGGGAGCCGGACACTTTGCCATAGTGGGGGGAACATTTTAACCGAAACCCTAAACCCTAAACCCTAAACCCCAAACCCTAAACCCTAGGACTGGGTGGGCGGAAGGATCCGCCTTGCCCTGGCCACCCTGATGGCCCACGCCTTCATCAAAGGCAACTCCGATGTCATGAGGCCCGACATTGGGATGCCCCCCCCCCTTATACTAACAGCTCCTAGTTTAGGGTTTAGGGTTTAGGGTTTACGGTTCAGGGTTTAGGGGTACACTAATCGCTATTCAGGAGTGTTGGTGTAAGGGGGAACATCCCAGAGGCCCACCATCGCCGAGCTGTGTCCAGAGGCATGCCAGTACCTAGGAGTCGGGCTTTGGTTTTTTGTTTTTGTTTAGGGTTTAAGGTTTAGGGTTTAGGGTCGAGGGTCATGTTCAACTATTATTTGCTTGAGAACTCCCCTCCCCCCACAAAAAATATGAAAAAGACAAAAGATGATAAACAAAAAACAGTCTTCCTTATAAGTGCCGTATAGGGATGGGGGATGATTGTTCTGTACTTTTTTGGCGAGGCACGGGGGGGGGGGGGGGGTTCTCAAGTAGCCGTATTTTAAAATTCCTAAACCCGACTCCCCAAACCCTACACCCTAAGCCCTAAATCGTTGTGAACCCTAAACCCTAAATCCTAAACCCTAAACCCTAAACCCTCAACCCTGAACCCTGAAAGGGCCATCTGAGGTACCTACCAAGGCTCGATGGCTTCATGCTCTTCACCTTCAACTCGAACCTAGGTCGGCCCTTGTGGCTTAGGGTTTAGGGTTTAGGGTTTGGGGTTTGGGGTTTAGGGTTTAGGGTTTAGGGTTTGGGGTTTAGGGTTTAGGGTTTAGGGTTTAGGATTTAGGGTTTAGGGTTTAGGGCTTAGGGTTTAGGGTTTAGGATTTGGGGTTTGGGGTTTAGGGTTTAGGGTTTACTGTTCAGGGTGATGTTCCCCCTTATACTAACTGTCCTTAGCAGGGATTAGAAAGTACCCCTCTATTATCAGCCCTGTTAAGGACTGCTAGTAAGTATCTGGAGGAACATCCTTACCCCATTGGGCTTTAAGAGGAGCATCGTTTAGGGATATCTTTTCCTTAGTGGGTTTAAGAGGATCATAATGTAGGAAACTCAGGCATTGTTGGGAGATTTTATCTTTTCCCTTGTTGTGAGTTTTGAGAGGATCACCATTTAGGAGTATTTTCTTTCAGCCGGCTTGAAACCCTAAACCCTAAACCCTAAACCCCAAACCCCAAACCCCAAACCCTAAACCCTAAACCCTAAACCCTGAACCCTAAACCCTAAACCCTCTCTATCATGTATATCTAAATCTTCTAGGCCCTCCCGAACCACATGTTTTAAGCCATCCGGGCCCTCCCGGGCCCTCCGGGACCAAATGATGTTTAGCGCCCTAGGGTTTGGGGTTTAGGGTTCAGGGTTTAGGGTTTAGGGTTTAGTCTAGAGCCTTTGGGCTTCTGGTCCCGGAGGGTCGGACCTTGTTTTGCTCTTGTTGAAAGAATGGTGCGCAACAAGCGTAAAGGGTTCATGAACACCCTTTAGTTGCTTAATGTTATGGGGTTCTCTGGCGGGTGGGGTTATATTTAAGTCTGCGCTCTGCACGCTCGACTAGTGCTGCTCGATCCGGAGCTGCTGAACCCTAAACCCTAGCCCTAAACCCTAAACCCTAGCCCTAAACCCTAAACCCTCAACCCTCAACCCTAAACCCTAAACCCTAAACCCTAAACCCTAAACCCTAAACCCTAAACCCTAAACCCTAAACCCTAAACCCTAAACCGGGCCATCCTAGGAACCTGCCTTCCATGTTCGGCGTCAGCCCGACCTTGCGCCCCCGACCTCCCGACTGGCCTGACACCTACCACCCAACCATGTGCGGGGCCTCTTGCCTTAGGTTTAGGGTTTAGGGTTTAGGGTTTAGGGTTTAGGGTTTAGGGTTTGGGGTTTGGGGTCTGGGGTTTAGGGTTTAGGGTTTAGGGTTTAGGGTTTGGGGTCTGGGGTTTAGGGTTTGGGGTCTGGGGTTTAGGGTTTAGGGTTTGGGGTTTAATTGGGGTTTAGGGTTTAGGGTTTAGGGTATTTTTCCCTGGGCCAAGAACTGAGTTTTGTCTGCTTTTGGGAGCTTCCTTGTCTAGTAGGAATCGGCCAAGAACTGAGCTTTTGTTGGCTTTTGCGGGCTTCCTTGTTTACTAGGCTTTATTTAGTAGAATCATGAGCCCTAATCCCTAAACCCTAAACCCTAAACCCTAAATCTGGTTCCACGCTTATCGGAGAAGTAAGGCCTGGGTGGTGCCCTCGGACGTGCAAGTGGACCTCATGAAGGGCGGCGCCCAGGCTTTTGGCGGCGAGGATGGAAAGGCCACCTGGTTGGCAGGTGGCACGCTTTTGCCTGTGAGGGTTTAGGGTTTAGGGGGTAGGGTTTGGGGGGGTTTAATTAGGGTTTAGGGTTCAGGGTTTAGGGTTTAGGGCGGCCGCATCTTAGAGAAGTACCCGCGGACCCAATGCTGCAGAGTACGGTTTAGGGTAGGGTTTAGGGGTTCCGGTGGCACACTTTTGTATATGGGCTTTTACGAGCATAAGGGATCCCCAATAGAGACCCCGAATGGTATAGTAGGATTCCCCGAATAGTAAGGACCCAAAGAAGGTACCCCTTGTTTCGGAAACCTCCAGAGAAGGCTAGGGGCATGGTCCCTTATAATGTTAGGGGCTGGGTAGTTAACCTTTAAGCTTTTTGGATATATGGTGATTTCTGTAAATTATGGTCCCTTGTAGGGTCCTTATTATGAAGCGGCCCCTCAAATTTAGGGTACCCCAAAACGGACCATAATGTAGAGAGCTGACCATATACAATCCTATTGCAAGTCAAGGGTTAGCTTTTTTGGGGCTAGGGGACCCTAAACCCTAAACCCTAAACCCTAAACCGTGGTCCCTGAATTTCCTTAAACGGGGTTCTGAAGCATGGGGTGTTGGGTCTTGGAGGGTTTGTTCAGGGGGCCAAGAAGGGTTTAGGGTTTAGGGTTTAGGCTTAAGGGACCAGGTAACTGCCCTAAGATTTCGCACAGTTGTTTGGGTTCTAGGTTGCTTTATGAGGTAGCCGACCCCCAAAAGGGTACCCTTATTATAATATGGGGGTTTACGAGAATAGGGCCCTAAAATAGACCCCCCAACTAGTAGAAGTCTCTTATAATGAGGACCCCCCAATAACGCATCCCTTATTTCGGAACCCTAAACCCTAAACCCTAAACCCTAAACCCTAAACCCTAAACCCTAAACCCTAAACCCTAAACTACCCTTATTAGAGCATGGCTGCTGGGCTACTAAGGCCCTCGAGACTTTCTTGGCACAGGGCAAGAAGCCCGTTTATGTCGGCTGGGGGTCCATGATCGCTGTGTCACCTGATCCTTGACAGCGCAGTGGTACCCTTTTCCGTTTTGTTTGTTTCAAGGTTCCGTTGCCCTAAACCCTAAACCCTAAACCCTAAACCCTAAATCCCAAAAAAGGGTGCCCTGATTGCCACATGGTGACTGGGCCACCAAGGAACACATGGCCTGTTTGGCTGTCAGGGCCCTGATGGATTCTAGGTGGGACTTTACTACAACTTTACGACTTCATAAGTTTTGGGGGTTCCTCGCATTCATATTAAGGGTTTAGGGTTTAGGGTTTAGGGTTTAGGATTTAGGGTTTAGGGTTTAGGGGTTGAACTTTTCTTGGGGCGTTAAAGAGCAACCAAGGATTTAGGAGAGCGCGGCATCGTGCTGGCCGGCTTTGCACAGCTCAGCCCCGACATGCTCGACACTTTTGTGGGGTTTAGGGTTTAGGGTTTAGGGTTTAGGGTTTAGGGTTTAGGGTTTAGGGTTTAGGGTTTGTTGGTTCGTAGGGAATGAGGGAAGGAGATACCCCATATCCCCCTACACATACCCTTTAGGGATTCTGTAGGGTCCCTATAACCCCCTATATATACCCTTTAAGGGATTCTGTAGGGCCCCCAATGCCCTCATTCCCTGCTAAGCAACAGCAAGGACAAGCAGCCGGACTCCGCTGAGATGCGGTCCTACGCGGCGGAGAACATCCTCTTCGCGACTTTTCTTTTTTTCAAGCAACCAACCAAACAAAGGGTACCCTTATGAAACCCTAAACCCCAAACCCTAAACCCTAAACCCTAAACCCTCAACCCTAAACCCTAAACCCTAAAACCCTAAGCCTGGCTACTGGGCTACTATAAGGTGAAGACAGCGCCCCACGAGATGCTCTTCCCCCGCTGCGCGGTGGTCGTGCACCATGGCGGCTCGGGCACCACCATGGCGGCTCTGCGCAGCGGCGTGCCCTCCGTCGTCACGCCCGTCTTCCTGGACCAGTTTCAGAATCTTGGGTTTAGGGTTTAGGGTTTAGGGTTTAGGGTTTAGGGTTTAGGGTTTAGGGTTTAGGGTTTAGGGTTTAGGGTTTAGCCGGTTTAGCCCAGTGGTACTCTTTTCCTTTTTCCCTTATAAAGTAACCAACCGAAGGAAAGGGTGCCCTTGTTATGATATGGTTACTGGGGTGCCGAGGAATGCTGATTTGGTGGCCAGCCAGGGCGTGGGCGTGAAGAGCAACTTAGTTACCCTAAACCCTAAACCCTAAACCCGAAACCCGAAACCCGAAACCCGAAACCCGAAACCCGAAACCCTAACCCTGAACCCTAAACCCTAGATAGGTTACTGGACAACTAAGGCAAGCAGTTTAACAAGGTCACGGCCCAGGACCTGGCAGGGATGGTTCGCAGGTGCCTGGAGGAGGACACTTAGTTGCTGAATAAGTACACTTGACACCTTTTTGGGATACTACACCCCCCCCCTATGGAACTGAAAGTGTACACTTTTCAGGGGGGCTTATGAACTCAGCAACTAAGGACCTTAGCCCTAAACCCTAACCCTAAACCCTAAACCCTCAACCCTAAACCCTAAACCCTGATCCCTAAACCCTAAACCCTAAACCCTAAACCCTGTCTCGCAGGACCTCCGGAACTCGGCTGCCGACCTGGGCGCCCGGCTCAGGAGTGACTTAGTTGCTGAATAAGTAATGAGGGTTTAGGGTTTAGGGTTTAGGGTTTAGGGTTTAGGGTGAACTCAGCAACTGAGGTGAGGATGGCGTTGCCTCAGCCGTGGGCGTGGTGAGGCGCCTCCTCGACGAAGACATCCCCACAGGGAAGTACCAGAAGCTCCTGGAGGAGTATAAGAGGAAGCTTGGTTGCTGAAGACTTACACTTTAGGGTTTAGGGTTTAGGGTTTAGGGTTTAGGGTTTAGGGTTTAGGGTTTAGGGTCTATTTGCACTCTTTGGGATACTATAATCCCCCCACAGAACTGGAAGTGTACTAACTTTTTGGGGGGCTTGGGAACTCAGCTAAGGAAGATCTTGCATCTCAACTCGAGACCCGCACCCTCTTGCATCACCTGGCTCTACAAGATTTTCTGGGCCGCGCACCCCAACCGCTGCCACGACGTGAGCTTGCCGCCAGAGGTGTCAGTTTAGGAGCGTGGCGCGCCGGCTGCTCCTGCAGAAGCACCTTCCAGCCCGCCTATAAAGCCCTCTTCGAAGCCTTTAAGCCCACTTACAAACCCTAAGCCCTAAACCCTAAACCGCGTTTGGGCCCTAGAACCTCCTGCATCCTCCACAGGGAGCACAGCCGGAGCAGTCGGTTTCTCGAAATAGGGCCTAGCTTTTTCCAGCTCTCCAGAGCGCGGGTTCTCAAAGAGCCCAGTGCTGTAAGGGTTCAGGGGTTGTAGGGCTTCAATTCAGGCCCCAAACCCTGAACCTTAAGGCCCTAAACCCTAAACCCCATACCATGGAATCAGGATAGGACTTCTACGAATCCGAGATCCCCTATTGCAAGGCTTCCAAATTTCGGCCCGAACAGATACGCCAACTTATGGGCCCTTTTCTGGTAGCCCTAAATCCTATAAACACTAAACCCTGAACCCTGAACCCTGAACGCTGACCCTGAACCCTGAACCCTGAACCCTAAACCCTAAACCCTAAACCCTAAGCCTTAAGCCCTAAGCCCTAAACCCAAATTCTGGGGGTATCGGCGGGGCTGCTCCTCCACCCCCCTCTCGAGCACCGGAAGAGAAGCCGGGCCAACCCTCAAACACGCTTTAGGGCTTAAGGCTTAGGGTTCAGACCCTAAACCCCAAGCCCCAAACCCTAAACCCTAAACCCTAAACCCTAAACCCCAAACCCTAAACCCTAAACCCTAAACCCTAAACCCCAAACCGCATCGAGCCCGGGAGCTTCCCGACCACAGGCTCGCAGCTCTTCTCCGTGCTCGGGTCAGCGTTCGCATCGCGTCTCCTCCGTGCCTCGGATTGGGGGTTAGGGTTTAGGGTTTAGGGTTTTAGGGTTTAGGGTTTAGGGTTTAGAGGGCTAGGGTTCAGGGTTGATAGGATGTAGGGTTTAGGGTATGGCGCTAGGGGTTTAGGGTGCAGGCTTTAGGGCTGCGGGTTCCGGGTTACGGCACGAATTTAGGGTTGAGAGGGTATATGCGGTTTACAGAAGGTTTGGATGGTTCAGCTTTTATTTGCTTAGGGGCTTTATGGTTAAGAGTTTTATAGGGCTTTTCGAGTTTAGAGTTGTGTTCTGGGTGGTTGATGACCCTTAATCTAAGGTTTCTTAACCCTTGCTTTCCGTAAAGAACCCCGAAGCATGGGCCCTTGAGCATTGGAGGGCTCTTGAGGGGTAAATAAGTTCCATAAGGGATGTAAGGAGGGACCCCTAGAAAGACGCTGAATCTTATTCCCCTACATGACTCCTCTGTATGCCTCATGTCGTCCCTTTCTACCCTAAGTCGCCCCTACATCACCCCTAAGGTCCCTCAGCAGTAGGAGTGTGCGAGAACTTTGCAGGGTCTTGTTGTTCCTGCAGCTTGGAAGCCCTGCTTGGAGGTTCATGGTACTTAGTAACTAATTATCGCTGTACTTATGACTGTACTTATAACCAAATTAGGGCACTTAAGGGGCTTATAAGTGGGCTATAAGTACAGTTATAATTGGTTACTAAGTACAATGAACCAGGGGAAGGTAGAGACTTGCAGGTCTTTGAGTGTCGGTGGATCTTGCCACGAGACGAAGGTCCTTGGTACGGTTCCTCCTTTAGTCTCTTGAGTTGTAACATGAAGGGCCACATGCGACGGGACCATGTAACTACCCATAGATCGCATCATGTGAACCCTAAATCCTAAACCCTAAACCTTAAGCCCTAAACCTAAACCCTAGACCCTAAACGCTAAAACCTAAACCCTAAACCCTAAACCCTAAATCCCCCCTCTGCGCATCCTGTGCTCAAGAGCTTACTGTTGGTTAGCAGGGAATGAGGGAGTTAGGGTTTAGAGTTTAGGGTGTAGGGTTTAGGGTTTAGGGTTACCCTTTAAGGGATTGTATGGGTATCTCACTCCCCCATTCCCTACTAGCCGACAGTAAGAGAGAGGCCAGCTTGGAGACGACTTCGTAGCGGACCTCTTCTTGTCCTTGGGCACGCCGCCCCCTGGCTCACCTTTTTGGGGGTTTTATGTTTTAGGGTTTAGGGTTTAGGGTTTGGCTCACCTTTTTTAGGGTTTAGGGTTTGGGGTTTAGGGGTTTAGGGTTTAGTGTTTGGCTCACTTTTTTGGGGTCAATTGTTTAGGGATCAGGGGCTTAGGGTTTAGTGTTTTGTTGGGGTTAAGTTAAGGGTTCAGGGTTCAGGGGTTCGGGTTTAGTGTTTGGCTCACCGTTTTCGGGGTTCAGGGGTTTAGGGTTTATTGTTTGGCTCACCTTTTTGGGGTCAGGGGTTTGGGGTTCAGGGCTTAGTGTTTGGCTCACCTTTTTCGGGGTTAAGGGTTCTTTAGAGTTCAGTGTCTTTTGGGGTGCTGTTTGTTTGGGCTGGGGTGTGGGTAGGTTCGGGGACTCAGGGTGATTGAGGGGTTTCGATTTCGGTCGCTTACGGGGTTCAGGTGGTTCAAGTGGTTTGTGTCTATAGGGCTTCAGGGTTCAGTCAGGGTTGAGAGGCTCACAAAATCCCAAGCCATGAGGAAGATACTGCAGTAGAGAAGCCAAGACCGCTCAAACCCTCAAAAAGGGCCCACAGGTCAGATCAATGGCCATGCTCTGAGGGTTTAGGGTTTAGGGTTTCGGGTTTAGGGTTTAGGGTTTAGGGTTTAGGGTTTAGGGTTTGCCTTACCTTGCCTAGAGGGTTCTGAAGTGTGGGTCCTTTGGGTTGTACAGGGTATAAGGGGCCCCTTTAAACCCTTAGCCCTGAACCACCTTGAAATCCCTAAACCCTAAGCCCTAAGCCCTAAACCCTAAACCCTACTCTTAAACCCCAATTAAGCCTGAATCCCTAACCCTTTTCTGGGCAGGAGGAGTGCTGATTCCCATCGGCATGATCTGCCCAACCATAAGCTCGAAGTCCTGACAGCCCGAAAGCCTCACCCGCAAGGGCACCAGCTTAGGGTTTAGGGTTTAGGGTTTAGGGTTTAGTGTTTAGGGTTTGGGTTTAGGGTTTAGGGTTTAGGAGTTCGGGTAAAGGCCATGAGGTCTTATGTAGGCTTGCTGGCCCAACAGTAACAAGGCTTGCCTTTTGCCCGATTAACCCTAGACCCTGAACCCTGAACCGTAAACCCTAAACCCTAAACACCCCAAACCCTGAAAACCCTAATCCCTAAAAAACCCAAACCCTAAAAACTCTAAACCCCAAACCCTAAAAGCCCTAAACCCCAAAGCCCTAAACCCAAAAAGCCCTAAAATCCCTAAACCCCAAAACCCCCAAAACCCCAAAAAAACACAAAAAAAAACAAAAACCCCAAAAACCACCCAAAAACCCCCCAAAAAGACCCAAAACCCCCCAACCCCCCCCCCCCAAAAAAAAAAAAAAAAACCAAAACCCCCAAAACCCCAAACAACCCAAGAAAAAAACCAAAACCCCAAAAACCCCAACCCCCCAAAAAAACCCAAAAAACCAAAAAACAACAAAAAAACCCAAAAACACAAAAAAAATCCCAAAACCCCAAAAACCCAAAGAAAACCCAAAACCCCCCAAAACCCCCCCGAAAACCCAAAAAAACCCTTGTGAAGGGAACCTGCGATCGCCAAGGTTCGTCGGCACACTGTTCCATGAACTGGGCGCTGCTTGGCTGCAGTGGTTTAGGGTTTAGGGATTAGGGTTTAGGGTTTAGGGTTCAGGGTTTAGGGTTTAGGGTTTAGGGTTTAGGGCGTAGGGTTCAGGGTGTAGGGTGTAGGGTTCAGGGTTTCGGGTTTCGGAGGGTTTTCGGGTCGGGTAATGGCCCTAAAGCCCAAACCGGATGAGGACCTTCTGCATCCGCTATAAGAATAGCTCATGCAGAAGAGATTGCCATATCCGCCTGGCCCCACTGGCTCGAGCACACGCCCACATTCACACCTTGCACGGCCTGCCTGCAGATGCACTTCTGCCGCCACAGCACCCACGCTTGCGGCACCTCTAAGCCATGTCCTCCAGAGCATTTGGTCATGCCTAATGCCCACCACACGACAGGCCCTTGACATTGTCGATACGGTATCTTCTGGTAAGCTGCCGGAAAGACACGAAAGCTTTAACGCCAAAGCCCTAAAATCCCCTAAAGCTCCCTAAAGCCCTGAACCCCCCACCCCCCCCTAACTTTAGGCCCTAAACTCACGCACCCTGAAACCCTTAACGGCACGCCTGGGTTCGACGCGCCCTCAGCAGCATGCCGCACGTCTGCTGACGTGGGTTTGCGCCTTTTGCGCAGACTCTGAGTTGCCCAGGCTTGTCCAGAAGTCCTCCGACAGGAGGCTCACGGCACCGCTGCTGATTTATTCAGCTTCGGGGCTGTGATCTGGACCTTGCTCAGCGGGGGGAACGACGCCCAGGCACAAGTCTTTTCTTCATCTTCCGAACCCCCCCCCAAAAAAAAAAAAACAAAAAAACACTGCAGACAATCTGAATGCAGGAGCGGCCACAACCGGTCGTCCACGACTGGCTGGCACCCCCCAGCTTCAGCAACCCTAGGCGATGCCTGGAAGTTGCCGAGGAGGCAGGTTGCTTGTTTTGTTCACTTCACCTTTTTTTGCGACGTGCTGTGTGTTTGGATTTCTTAGGCCACTCTGTGGACCAGATTGTCCGTGTCGACATGTTCGTGAGCTTCTCGTGGCACGGGGGCCACTTCATTCTGTTCATTTTTTCATTTTGATGTCCTAGAACCCGATCGTCCATGTGCGCATGGTCATCTTGTTTTTCGTGGCATTTTCCTTGCTTCATGTTCGTTTCGACGTGCCGGGCCACTCCGTGGACCAGATTGTTCATCTCCGCACGTACTGTTACTTCTCGTGGTGCAGTGATCGGTTCGTATTCGTTTCGATGTCCTTGGCCATCGTGGATTGAAGCGTTTATGTTGCGCTTGTCTTTATCCAGATGAAGGACGTGGTCGCCGGCCTTACGCGCGAGCTTGCCGACCGTCCCAGATTTGGCGATCATGGGGAGGGCGGTTGGCTTCGTGCTTGCTTCGTAGCTTCTTCGTATCACTGTTTGCCTCGCGGCTTCTTGGGCCTTAGGTTTGTGTGTTGCGCTGGAGATTTTTCGACGCGCCGGGGCAGTTAGCAAACAGGGTGATGTGGTTGTTATAAGCGTTCGTGCGTTTGATTCAAGATCTACGGCGTTCAGTCGCGAAGGGTACGAGAGAAAAGAAGTTGGGGTGAAGTTTGGAAGAAGAAAGAAAATGATGGTAAACGTAAACGAAGTGAGCGACTAGACATGAAAAGGAAGGAAGTAACGAACGAACATGAGCGAACAAAGCCAAAGCAAAAGACAAAGAACCCCTCACTGCCCTCACCGTCCTCACCGCAGCACCCCGCGTGGAGCGGTGAGCATAGAGGGGAGCAGTATCAGAGCAGCACGCCGTTTTATGCCATTTTCATGTGGGCCAGAAGTCTGCCACCGCACTCACATTTTCCAGTAGAGGGGATAGGGGGGAGGGCCAGGAACTTTGGTTCCATCTTTGTGTACTGCACCCAACCCCCTCGTTTCGGATCGATTTGGGAGGGTTGGGTTTCCGTCTTTTTGGGGCTTCTTGGGAGGCGTCGTTTGTTTCATTTGTTGGTGCTGAACTTAACCCGCCGTTTTCGGGTCGATTTGGGGCGGGTTGAGTTTCCATTTTTTTGGGCTTTCTCAGGAAGTTTCTTTCCTCTGCGCAGACATGCCGTGGACATGCCTCTTTCACGGGCCTGCGGTTAGCGGACCGTGCTGGAGTACCACTACTACGTTTATACATTCTCGGCATTAGAACGAGAAGGCAACGCACCCGAGAAAGCAAATCCACAAGCCCTCAAAACCTCAACCCAAGCCCTATAAACCTGAAGTCTTGCAGCCCCCCCTATGGATCTCATGGTGTCTGTAGAGTTGGTCACTAGGTCTAGGGTGTAGGTCTTAGCCCCTGCGAACTGAGCCCGTGCATGACCTCTTTTTCTCAGAGTTCCCACTTCTCCACCTCGAAGAAATGCCGTCCCTGAGTTTCTAGACCCTAGACCCTAAGCCCTGAACCCTAAGCCCTAAAGCCCTAAGCCCTAAACCCTAAAGCCCTAAACCCTAAACCCTAAACCCCAAAACCTGAACCCTAAACCCGAAACCCTAAACCCGAAACCCTAAACCTCCTAAACCCTAAACCGTAAACCCTAAACCCTAAACCCTAAACCCTAACCCTAAACCCTAAACCCTAAGCCCCACCCAAAGCCGAGGCATCCTTCTGCGCCCGACTGTTTCGCCGGCTGTCGCCTTGCTTCATGGCGCCTCTGCCTTTGGTTCCAGGGCTGGGTTTAGGGTTTAGGGTTTGGGGTTTGGTGTTTGGGGTTAGGGGTTGGGGGTTGGGGGTTCAGGGCTGAGGGTCTTGGAACCTTTTATCCTCGACGCTGAACAGTGGACTGGCCCGAAACCCCACATAAACACCAAGGGCGAAGCTGCTTTCGCACCTCGGGGGCCAGGGCTAGGTACGTCCTCGGCTGCGTGAAGGGCTCAGTTTTATAGAGGGTTTAGGGTTTGGGGTTTAGGGTTTCAGTGGGGTTCAACAGGGTTCGGGGCCTGACAGAATCTTTTTTGGTTCAGGGCTGTTTGCCGTTGCCCTGTATTGGCTTCCAAGCATGAGCTGCCCAACACATCACAAAGAAGGCATTCTTCATGGTATGTACTTGTGCAGCCCTCTGAGCTGTAGTCGGTTCAGGGATTTGGGTTTCGGGCTTTGGGGTTCAATGTTATTTTTACGAAGCACCTTGCACTCCGATGCCGCAAGTGTAGAATCGCGGTCTAGGTTGCCAGGGTTTGTTGAAGGGGGTCTATAGGCATGGGTGCAGAACCCGAAGCCGCGAAACTTGAAACCCCAACCTCCTAAACCCCAAGCTCTTAAACCCCAATCTCCTAACCCTAAACCCTAAGCCCTTCTTAGGGCTGCCTCCGCATATCTGTGCGCCCAAAGCCACGTGCCGCCCAAGCCCTATCAGACCCTAAACCTACTAGCTCTTCTCGAAGGGAATGGTGCAAGGTGCCCTGTGGAATCCTTGCAGGGCTTATACCAGGTAGTATAGTCGCCCAGAACCCTAAACCTTAAACCCCAAACAGCCAGGAAGTATAGCTCCAAATGGTGGAGGGTTCAACCTGGGGAGGGTTCGAGCATGGGCTTGAGGGTTTGGCTAGGGTTTAGGGTTTAGGCCCTAAACCCTTGAACCCTAAGCACGAAACCCTAGACCCTAAACCCTAAACCCCAGACCCTATACTGGCCCTAGACCCTAAACCCTAAACCCTAACCTTAAACTCTAAACCCTAACCCTAAACTCTAAACCCTAAACCCTAAACCCTAAACCCTAAACCCTAAACCCCAAATCCAAGCCCTGAGGCGCAGCTCCTCCAGCGTCTTGGCCACGGCTGGGTCGCGCGGCTCTTTGAGGCCCTTGGAAGCGAATTCGTGCCTTGGGCTCAATCTTTGGGGTTTGGGGTTTAGGGTTTAGGGTTTAGGGTTTAGGGTCTGGGGAAATGCCCCCTATTCAGGAGATAAACCTTCAATCACATACTAGCTTACTATCATGCTCTTTGGGGTGGGTGGGCCCATCCCACACCTCTCCATCAGGGCGATGTTGGCAGGTAGCCCAAAAGCCTAACCCCTAAACCCTAAACCCTGAACCCTGAACCCTGAACCCTAAACCCTAGCCCTAAACCCTAAGCCCTAAGCCCTAAGCCCTAAGCCCTAAGCCCTAAGCCCTAAGCCCTAAGCCCTAAGCCCTAAGCCCTAAACCCTAAACCCTAGCCCTAAACCCTAAACCCTAAAATCCAAGTTTGCGCTGCCAAGAAATTGGAGACCCAGGTTGGGGAGCTCTTCAAGACCTTGGGAACCGCCTTCACCGCCGCTTTTCCGAAGGGACGGAGGGGACCCCAAAGGGTTTCGGGTTTAGGGTTTAGGGTTTAGGGTTCAGGGTTCAGGGTTCAGGGTTTAGGGTTTAGGGTTGAGGGTTTACAGCTTGGGGACGGAGGGGACCGCAAAGGCCCCCAAAAGCAGGGAGTACTTGGTTAGGGAGCCGACGTCAGAGTGTGAGGAGGGATTTAGAGTTTAAGTTTCGGGTTTAGGGTACAGAGGTGTCCGTGGAGAAATACTCGGCAAAGACGAATATGTTATTGCGACTGTTAAGGGGTCTAGTCCTTCATGGAGGGGTATTGGGCCTTTTGGACGATTTGGGGTTGACGGTTTTAAGGTGTAGGCTTTAGGGTTGTTGTCCGGGTCATGTGCTGCATGTTTATGTTTGAATAAAAGCGTTCTTTCTGAGACACAAGGTTTAACTAGGGTTCAGGGTTGGGGCTCTAGGGCATCTAAAGCTTGTGAAGGTTCAGGGCTTCTATAACCTTAGTGCCTCTTTTTTGGTTCTTTGGGGGGGGGGGAGGGGGGGGATTCCCTAACCCTAAGCCCTAAACCCTAAGCCCTAGTACCTTGTTTATTGGAACTTCCAGGCTTGAGGTTGCTTTCAGAGCCCAGAGAACCTGGGGTTCACGAATTTCACGCCCTAAACCCCTCAAGCCTTATCGCCATGTTGGGGTGTAGGGTTTAGGGTTTAGGGTTTAGGGTTTCGGACCCTTACTTACTCCTCACCCCAGGGGCCGGAAAAAAACACGCAGCAATCGGAGACATGGGGGGGGGGGGGCTTATTTTTTTCGGCTTCAGGGCTTGCAAGCTTCGCACCCCCAAAAGGGGGGTTTAGGGTTTTGGGGTTCAGGGTTTAGGGTTTTGGGTTTAGGGTTTAATTAGGGTTCAGGGTTTATGGTGGAATTTCAACCCTCCTAGACGCTTCTCCGAGGTTCAACTGCTCTCCCGACTGGGTCCTGGCTTCACGGCAAAGCTCCTCAACACCACCGGGGGGTCCGGGCGCACAGCGGGACGGTGAACCGCTTGTTTAGGGTTTAGGTACAGTAGGTACGTAGGGAAACTGAGGGAAGTTTCGGGAGCCTAGGGGGTAGTGGGGAGGATTCGACAACCTTGGGTAGGCACCCTTAAGGACCCCAGAACTGAGACGGGCCAATAAAGTCGCAAGCGCAGTCGCGGGCGAGCAGGTTCTGTAGTGAGCACCCTAAACCCTTTTCCCTAGACCCTCATTAAACCCTAAACCCTAATCAAACCCTAAACCCGAAGCAAAGCCTGGACCCTGACGATCCCTAAACCTTGATTCAACCCTAAACCCTAAACCCCAAACCCTAAACCCCAAACCCCAAACCCTAAACCCTAAACCCTAAACCCTAAACCCTAAACTGATTGCAAGTGAGAGTCCCCAATCTGCCGAGCTTCCGACGACTCTTCAGGCCACCCCCGGGGCTGAATCCCCTTAGCTTACTTAGGGTTTAGGGTTTAGGGTTTGGGGTTTAGGGTTTAGGGTTTAGGGTTGAGGGTTTAGGGTTTAGGGTTTAGGGTTTAGGGTTTAGGGTTTAGGGCAGGGGTGGGCCCCAAACCCTGAGCATCCAATGCCTCAAAACCCCAACAACACCCTCACAACGAACATCACTTCCATAAGGCAGAAGCCCTGAAACCCTAAACCCTAAACCCGAAACCCGAAGCCCTGAAACTCCAAAAGCCCTTCAATATCCCTGTAGCACAACACCGAAAATATCCTAAGGACCCTAAAAACAAGCACAAACCCTAACAACCCTAGCAACCCTAAACCATATGCCACAAACCCAAAACCCAAAACCCAAAACCCAAAACCCTAAACCCTAAACCCTAAACCCAAACCCAAAACCCAAAAACCCAAACCATACGCCACAAACCCACCCCAGGTCTTTTGCTCTGGGAGCCTTCGCTGCGTGCTCCTGCAGGCCCTTTGCTTGGGATGGGTTGGGGGGGGGAGGCGGGGGTCGTTGTC